AGAGAAATGTGCCTGAGCTTCTGTTGGCTGCTTACTGATACCATTAAAAATTTGAGAAAATGTACACACCAGTATTTTGTTTATTACCAGAGCAGTAGTATACAAATTAAGAAAGGACTCCAGGCTAGGTGCCTCAGACACAGGCCCACCACAAATGGCTGTCGGCACCAACACTGAGTCCTGACACCTTGCTCACTTGAAACAAAGCAAACTCTTTATTACAGTGACTCCAGAGGGTCAGAACTGGCCCAGTGGTCTCCAGGAAAGTTTCATAGTATTTCAATTTGAAGTACACAACAGTAGCCAAACTAAGCACCCAAGGAAAGATAGAACAGGGTTGGTATGGTCACGTGGACACTGAGAAGGACACTGGCAATTTTATCAGTTTGGATAATGCTGTGTACATTTCCTTAACACTAATCCGTCTGCAGATATCTGATGGGAACCAAGCTCACGGTCAGCAGGAAAAGAGAAGTGAAGGCATCAGGGTGCATTTTCCAAGATGGGTGCTGTCTATATGCAAAGGCAGCTCAAGTATTGGAACTAAGTGGACTGGTTACTGCAGGGGAAACACTGACAGGCTCTGAGGATACATTGTCACTTAGATTTAGTAAGGCATTCCACTATAAATAGTCATACCGTTGGTTCAGGAGTCGTCAAGAACGGTGGTTGATCGGCTGTGTGTTTAGTAGAGGGATTTCCTAGAGACCACTGGGCCAGTTCTGACCCCTCCAGTGCCACCATAGTAAAGAGTCTGCTTGGTTCCAAGTGAAAAGAAACAGATATATACTGAATGCTTCCCATGTTCTGGGCCCGACCCTCTGTGCTTCCACAAAGACGTGCTCTCACCAGGCCACAAGAACCTGAGCTCCATGTCCTTCCCCGAGCAGCTTTCTCCAGGACACTGGGAAGGAAGGACACTGGCGATTCTGTTTGGATAATGCTGAGTACATTTCCTTACATAAGGCCCCCCAGACTGTATTAGCTTCAGGCCTTACAAAAGCCGGATCTGCTCCTGATTTATATACTTCACAACAAATTTACGATTGCTGTGTAAATTTGACAGTGACCACACTAGAGCCCGTCTCCCCAAAATCAAGAGTAAATTCAGAAACAAGTGAACCATCAAAACATGTTATTTCTGCTAAGCCCAACTTTGGCACTTTTACTTCAGCAGAAGGACCTTTTTAATTAAATTTGCTAAGTTGAATCATGTTGGTTTTATTGCCTTCTTTTATTTAACATGTGAAAGTTTTATAGGTAGATAAGAACTATAATCATAGGGCATATAGATGGTTTAAATTTGGTTTTATAAAAAGTACATGATTTTTTAAAAATATTTACATTAGCAAGAGAGTCCATCAAAATTCCTCCCTTCAAGGAGAAAGTTTCATAGTATTTCAATTTGAAGTACACAACAGTAGCCAAACAAAGTCAGCACCCAAGGAAAGATGGAAGAGGGTCGGTGTGGCCAGCTCTGGGACCCAGCTGATTACTTGGCGCACAGTGAAAACTCCTATTCACTATGCGGGGCCACGGTCATTCCTACCCCAGCACCGCCCAGGGCTTTATCTTCAGATGGAAGGTTGGTGGACTGGCTGCAGCCGATTCCTGGAGTGTGCCTAGCTCTGTGCTGGAGCTACTGCAGGAGCCCAGTCCTCCATAGAGGCAGGACTGGGCCTCCCTAGTCCTGCGGTGGCTCCTGACTGCTGGAGTACCCGTGTCAGACCTCTTGGCAGGACCTGTGCTGGCCCCAGGATGTCTTCTGGCCTTCCCCTGCTTCAGCTCTACCTGGGCCCTTGCCATCCTACAGCAGAATCCCCCCTCCCTCTCCTGAGCACTGCTGGAGAGCATTGTACCCCCATGGGCTTCACCCCCACCCCACGCTCAGCATGCTCCTCTTTCCAGGGGTCACCTCCAGCATCCCCTCCCCAGGACACCTCTCGTGTCCTTGCTGGTACTCCCCAAGTGACTCACACTCCCTGCAGAGCAGTACTCACACACAAACTCCAAGGCATGGCTGATGCTCACGGTGTGTGGCAGTGTGACCTGGCCAAGGTAAGGCCTGCCCAGACAGGAAGGGAACATCACTCCTGGCTGTGCTGTGTCTGGGTGGGCATTTCTTGAAGGTAACACAGAGTGAGCAGAGCAGTTTGCCCTCAGGCATCTCAGTGGGCCTAGACTGAACCACGCACCTGCTTTCCAGGGCCTCCATGGCTGGCGGGAATTCCCACAGTCCTCTTAGGAGTCTGCCTTGCGTCCTCTGAGTTGTTGCCCCGTGAACCCTGAACAATGCAAAGACCACCTCCCCTTCCATCATCTGCCCTGTTTTGAGCTCCTCAGCATTCAAAAGGGGTTCTGGTTCCATGTCATCAGTCAAGATTTCCCTGATCTGACTATAAAATAATGGAGCATATTTTTGAATTCTGCAAGTTTTGCTTGTGAAGCTGAACATGCACATTTCTTTAAACTTCTGAACTATGTTGAAATTTGGATCCATCGTGTTGACAGTCATCAGAGAGAGGGGCCCAGCCCCACGGTAGGGTTTCCACAGGCCTCACTCAGTGGAGGAGGCTAGGAACCTTCTCCAGCATCGACTCTCACAGATTCAGTCTACATACGACGTTGTAAAAAGATGATAGGCTTATTTTCTAAACAGTTTTATCTAAGACTTTTTTTTCTGCAAGACAATGCAAAATAAAAAGTGTCTTTTTCTCTCCCCAGGGAAAGATGCATTTCTACAGCCTGGTTTCAGTTGGAGTTCACTTTCCGTTCAAACCAAATACCTTCAGAAGTCGAATTCTGCTTTTCCTGTGTGTCCTCTTGGCTAAGGTGAAGGGCTGAGCCTCCACTCCAGAGGGATGTGGCTCAGACAGTGCTGTCATGGTCAACTTGGATTGTACATGCTGGCTGTGGGACCCCACGTTACCAAATAAAGCGACCACCGTGGTGTGGTCAGAGCCAGGGACCAGCACAGAGAAAAGTGCACCAGGGAGTTTTTATGATTCAGAAATTAATCCCTTCCTTCTGCTCCCGGTATTTTCTGCTGAGTCCTCCCCAGGGAGGGAGTAGGGGCGATTACAGGCCAGGATGCTTGACTTTGAGATATACCTCCAGTCCCCACTTAGCCTGGCCATGCCTCCAATCCTCATCCATGGAGCTGAGATGAAAACTCTCCTCTCTGCTAAGGCTGGTGTGAGAATTGAGTGCAACGAGGCACACAGTGGGTGCTCAATAAATGCCTTCTGAAGGAGAGCAGGCACCCTGCGCCCAACACCAGTCCTTCCCCTGGTCTCCAACGTCGAGTGCATCAACACGGCCCCGGGTGCCCACAGCATCCCACACCCCCCAACGTAAGTCCGGTTCTGGAACCATCATGAGTTCAGGGGCCCACTCTGACTCCACTAGAGATCCAGGGCCTCAGCTTCTGAGCTTCACAGATCCACTGTGT